ATAGGTTTCACTGCAGGGTCACTTCTGTGTGATGCCTGTTGTTTTTCTCACTCATTCGGGTTAGAGATCGTTTCTGTATCAGCTGGGGTTGTGTGTCATGTTTATCAGTGGGGACAATAAAGTATCGATTATATCTCAATACTGGCAAATACAAATGTTAAAGAGGTAGATTTTCCTCATTGGAGAGCCTAAAATAATGCTAACTGCAGCTAGGACATGTCGCTGCACGACTATAAAGATTACTCATTCAGCTCGTTCCCCAGACGAGATGTCCAAGAGTTCACTTGGCACCAGCACTTTATCCTAAACAGGTTTACGTTAGGATCACATTTTAATATCTAAGATCTAAGATCTTACCTCATCCGACATCAGTGTAGCGATCGCTCTGCCGATCTCGTGGTATGACTTGGCTTTGCCTTTGGGTCCAAGCAAGATGAATAAAAATCTGAAGCCACATTAAAAAAGAGTACAAATTTAACAAAAGGATTACAGGTTAAAAATATATTTTCTTATTTTAATTAGAGCCTTTTTGGGGCAGTTTACATTTATTCAGATGTCATGCGCACACTTGGGGTCCCTGTGCAGTTTATAAAACATAACTCGAAGCTCAAAGACATTTTTGCTGCTTTGTATGACAATCATCTATTCAGCTACTCTCCAATACAGATAAGAGCAGTAAAGGATGTTGCTTACTTTAATAATAAACAAACTGATGATATAATGGATATGACACCATAACTGAGGCCTTGTCGTATAAATACCATGAACTAGCTTTAAATACTTTTTACTTTTTACACCTTTTTACTTTTTTTTAAATACTAATACTTTTTGAAAAGTACTGAAAGTTAAATTGTTTTATGGCTCCTTTGCTTAAATATGAGAACAGACATCAGGTGTCAGTGATCAAACTTTATGATGCTTGTTTCAGTGAACAAACATCAGGTGAAACACCTTCATACATGTGTGTTTTACAGCTGTGATGTAATACTCTTTCATATTTTACTGTTTGTTGTAATAAAATATCCGGAATTATCATAAAATCCACTTTTTATTGGATTTTGCAGCTTATTTCAAGCTCCACAGTTACTATGTTACTGATGGACTGTGATGCTACAGCAGCTTTGCGTGATTCACAGTTCAACATTATCATCATCTCACTTTAAGCTAGGTTTATTCTGATTGGCTGCCGCTCTCAAAAGAAAGATTTGAACATCGGCCTCCTGTGCTCATTGCCAGAGCTGTGTGCCTGAGATATCCACTCTGATTCATTCACTGACTATAAGGAAAATAAGGAAAAACGTATTAGGTTCCTGTCAAAATGTATAAACAACATATCCAGGTTGCAAACGGACAACCAGGAGTCTGGATTGGACAAAATTTCAGGCACCTTGTGGGAACAGGAACCTCCGTCAGGGCTCCCAGCATCACGGCCTGCTGCAGACGAACAAACGCCACAAAGGGCGCGTCCAGGAAGTCCACCTCCCCCACCAGCACGTTGGAGGCTTCTGCGTCTCTTGGCAACTTCTTCATGAATTTGTTCTTCAGCTGAAAAGCACAAAAGAGAAAAGCAACAGGAGTTGGGTAAGTGCTCCGTTCACACCAGCAAGCCGTCTAGAAGCACGCACTCGAAATTAAAAAACCTAAATCAAACGAGCCAATCCCATTCAGGTTAAATACCAAACCAGGCGTCCCCCATCGTGCCTAAATAAGAAACAAGCAGTAAAACGAGCTTTTCTTCTCGACGTAATGACACAGACATGCCAGGAGGTCAGCTACATGTGTGTCTTTCATGGGACTTTTATCTATACGACGGCTCATCTTATGTCCTTAATGTGTTTGCGTAGACAGAGAGGGGCGGCAGTCAGGTGTTAAAGACAGCTTCAGTTTGGATTCGGTCATTTTTCAGAGGTTTGTTTTTTTCATGCTTTTGTTGCAGCTGTGGATTTAACCCCCAGGCCTTGGACCGGTACCGGTCTGTGAGTCGTTTGGTACCGGGCCGCGAGAGTTGAGGCTCAGATGTGAAATGTATGTTTTGGTTTTTTTTGATCAAGGTCTTTTTATTGAACAAAGAATTGCTTCCAACAACAATTACGGCAATATTAACAAACAGTCGTGCTGTTTAACAAACAGAGCTAAAATAAAATAAAATTACAGATACAAAGTAAATAATAAAATAAATGAACAACCGCAAGGGGAAAAAACAAAACAAAAACAACAACAACAACAACAA